TGCTCAGTGCCTCGCCTGCGCACTCACAAAGCTCATTCCACTCGTTTTCGTGCCTTCGCATTGCATTCAGGCTACGCCTACGCGCCACCTTGCATAGCCAAGAACTGCAGTTGGTCTAGTCATGCTCAGTGCCTCACCTGTTCGCTCACGAAGCCCATTGCATTCGTCTCGGCGCCTTCGCATTGTATTCAGGCTGAGCCTGTGCGCCACCTTGCATACCCTGAAACTCCAGTCGGTCTAGTCATGCTCACTGCCTCGCCTGCTCACTCACAAAGCACATTCCAGTTGTCGTCGCGCCTTCGCATTGCATTCAGGCTGAGCCTGTACGCTTCGATGCAAGGTCCAAAACTGCAATTGGTCTTCTCATGCTCAGTGCCTCGCCTGCGCACTCACAAAGCTCATTCCATTCGTCTTCGCGCCTTCGCATTGCATTCAGGCTACGCCTATGCGCCACCTTGCATAGCCAAGAACTGCAGTTGGTCTAGTCATGCTCAGTGCCTCGTCTGTTCGCTCACGAAGCCCATTGCATTCGTCTCGGCGCCTTCGCATTGCATTCAGGCTGAGCCTGTGCGCCACCTTGCATACCCTGAAACTCCAGTCGGTCTAGTCATGCTCACTGCCTCGCCTGCTCACTCACAAAGCACATTCCAGTTGTCGTCGCGCCTTCGCATTGCATTCAGGCTGAGCCTGTACGCTAGCGTGCATGGTCAAAAACTGCAATTGGTCTTCTCATGCTCAGTGTCTCGCATGCTCACTCACGAAGCCCATTCCATTCGTCTTCGCGACTTCGCATTGCATTCAGGCTACGCCTACGCGCCACCTTGCATAGCCAAAAACTGCAGTTGGTCTAGTCATGCTCAGTGCCTTGCCTGTTCACTCACAAAGCTCATTCCATTCATCTTTGCGACTTCGCATTGCATTCAGGCTGAGCCTGTACGCTAGCGTGCATGGTCTAAAACTGCAATTGGTCTTCTCATGCTCAGTGCCTCGCATGCTCACTCACGAAGCCCATTCCATTCGTCTTCGCGACTTCGCATTGCATTCAGGCTACGCCTACGCGCCACCTTGCATAGCCAAGAACTGCAGTTGGTCTAGTCATGCTCAGTGCCTCGCCTGTTCACTCACAAAGCTCATTCCATTCATCTTCGCGACTTTGCATTGCATTCAGGCTGAGCCTGTGCGCCACCTTGCATACCCTGAAACTCCAGTCGGTCTAGTCATGCTCACTGCCTCGCCTGCTCACTCACAAAGCACATTCCAGTTGTCGTCGCGCCTTCGCATTGCATTCAGGCTGAGCCTGTACGCTAGCGTGCATGGTCAAAAACTGCAATTGGTCTTCTCATGCTCAGTGCCTCGCATGCTCACTCACGAAGCCCATTCCATTCGTCTTCGCGACTTCGCATTGCATTCAGGCTACGCCTACGCGCCACCTTGCATAGCCAAAAACTGCAATTGGTCTGGTCATGCTCAGTGCCTTGCCTGCTCACTCACGAAGCCCATTCCATTCCTCTTCGCGATTTCGCATTGCATTCAGGCTACGCCTACGCGCCACCTTGCATACCCTGAAACTCCAGTCGGTCTAGTCATGCTCACTGCCTCGCCTGCTCACTCACAAAGCACATTCCAGTTGTCGTCGCGCCTTCGCATTGCATTCAGGCTGAGCCTGTACGCTAGCGTGCATGGTCAAAAACTGCAATTGGTCTTCTCATGCTCAGTGCCTCGCATGCTCACTCACGAAGCCCATTCCATTCGTCTTCGCGACTTCGCATTGCATTCAGGCTACGCCTACGCGCCACCTTGCATAGCCAAAAACTGCAATTGGTCTGGTCATGCTCAGTGCCTTGCCTGCTCACTCACGAAGCCCATTCCATTCGTCTTCGCGATTTCGCATTGCATTCAGGCTACGCCTACGCGCCACCTTGCATACCCTGAAACTCCAGTCGGTCTAGTCATGCTCACTGCCTCGCCTGCTCACTCACAAAGCACATTCCAGTTGTCGTCGCGCCTTCGCATTGCATTCAGGCTGAGCCTGTACGCTAGCGTGCATGGCCTTAAACTGCAATTGGTCTTCTCACGCTCAGTGCCTCGCCTGTTCACTCACGAAGCTCATTGCATTCGTCTCCGCGCCTTCGCATTGCATTCTGGCTGAGCCTACGCGCCACCTTGCATAGCCAAGAACTGCAGTTGGTCTGGTCATGCTCAGTGCCTTGCCTGCTCACTCACAAAGCACATTCCAGTCGTTGTTGCGACTTCGCATTGCATCCAGGCTGATCCTATGCGCCAGGTTGCATACCGTGAAACTCCAGTCGGTCTAGTCATACTCAGTGGCTCGCCTGCTCACTCACAATACACATTCCAGTTGTCGTCGCGCCTTCGCATTGCATTCAGGCTGACGCTATGGGGCCTACCTGCATAGGCTAAAACTGCAGTTGATCTTATCATGCTCACTGCTTCGCCTGCTCACTCACAAAGCGCGTAGCATTCGTCTCAATGGTTTAGCAGTGTTAGAGACTGCGCGCTGCCGTCCCGAGTTTCTAGGGGCTTCTCCGAGGATGGTGGCCGTTCTTAAGTTCACTGTGGTGTCAGTAAGTGAAGCTATGCACATTTTGTTTCTTTTTACGCCCTGTTCAGATTTGGAAACGAAATCCCCAGATGAGTAGCTCACGATGTCAGCCTGTGGAAAGGGGTGGAGGGCTCCGGCGCAGAATCACTTTGGAAACAGCACAACTCCAATGACACGCTTTTGTGGTTCATATCGACTGCGACTGTATTCATCCTCGCATTTTACTCTCGAAGATTTGGGATCTGAGGTGGCAAGCTGGGGGCCTTGAAAAGCTGCTTATGTGCGCACGAGTGCTTCCGAACTTCGATGTTTCCCGAAGTGTGTCTCGTTTGCTGCCATATCCTTATGTCTACGATGAAGCGGCTCCAATGCATGTGTGCAGAGCTGCGTCTTCGCTACAAATCTACCCTTCGCCTCCCCTCCCACAACCTCACTCATTCGGGAGTGCTTCGGAGCGTGTTTCCCGTCGTGCATCTTTTCCCCCAAGATGCACGACGGATTCGCGCCGCTCCGTGCATTTTCGTGTCTTCGCAGTGCAATTTAACCCGTGTCTCTTCAACGGGGTGTGTAGGTAGTTTGCATTCACTCCAATGCAGTGAGTGAGTTTTTGTTCTGCGGGTTTCAGTCGTGAATGAGACTGTTTTCTCCCGTTGTCGATCCATGCTCCACTTTTCGTGAATGAGACTGTTTTCTCCCGTGGTTGGTCCATGCTCCTCTGTGAGCAGGGTCGCTATACACTAAACGCCAGCATTTACATCATCTTTGCTCCTTAGTCTTACCCAGTTTGTCGCACTACAGCTCTAAAAGGAGCTTGGTGTTGTTGTTATGCGTAGTTTGTTGCATGAAAGCATTCTTTTTCGGCAGCTTTTTGGGCACACGCAAACAAATAACTTGCAAGCCCTCTTTTAGGCCTCCATAGGCTGCAGTACACTGCTTCGCACGCAGAAAACAGATCTTTTAATTTGCTTTGACGCATTCAGACGTAGCTTTTCAATTTACCTCCATCTTACAAATATTTGGCTACCTTGCGTACTTTGTCGTTTGGTAGCATTCATCTTCGGCAGTTCTTCGAGCACATGCAAACAAGCCCCGCCAATTTGCCCTCTTTTCAGCCTGCAGTGGTTGCATTAATGTGCTTTGATCCACACAGGAATTGTGCATTCTATCTTAATTTGGGGCGTTTAGCTGTAACTCCTGAGTTTGCCTCCGTTCTGCGAGCCTTTTGCTACCGCAAGCCAGCTACCCTTGTGGCGTAGGCTTCATACACTTACCCTTTCCCCAGTGCGACCCCTAAGCTTCTTCCAGAAAGCTCCTCAAAAACGAGCTTAAATAAGTAGCAGCTAGGACAGTTTCCCGGAGCAGGTTTTCTATTTTGCTTTCCGTTGTCTCTGTTCTGTTGTTTCCTCCGGCGTCCTTTTGCATTGCTCTCCGTTCTGCATCTGCCTTTGTCGTTCGTTCTGCAGTCGCCTTTGCTTTTGCGTCGTTTTCATTCATGGCCTCATTGGCTTGCACTGGTCTCTACCTCCACCCCCTCCATCTGCACTTGCTTTTTCTGTGTGCCGTGACTGGTTCTATGGCTTCGTTATCTCATTCGATCCCTCGCCGCGTGTCTTAATTAATCGGATTCCGTCCCTGTTTCGATTTTTCTCACGTGAATTTGCTGCCTCACTGGTTTGCCTTTTGGGTTGTCCTGTTCAGCACGTGTAGTTGTCTCTTCCTGTCGCTGTAATTTTTGTTGCCCCTTCGGTTTCAGCGCAACCTCTTTCTTCGTTACGTTAAGATTAAATCAAAAGACGAAACGAACCGCACTAAAACTAAAGACAAGAAATAGAGAGAAAATGTACATGCAGTACCAGTCCTGCTAAACGTATAAGCAGTAGAAAAATACAATGAACAATAAAGCAAAATATGTAAATAACACAGTCACACTTATGCTTCCTGTTGAGGTGTATGGGCAGGCGCATGCAGCGGTCTCCACTTGGTAGCCAAAACAAAACGTAAAAGCTTAAATTACAAACAACTATAAATGTAGACAGTATTTATAAATACAAATATTTATAAATACAATTTGTCGCCTCTCCTATTCCTTTCATTAGTCTGTACACACAGACACGATGACACAGACTGAAACGCGACGCAAAGAATTGCCAAATGAGGTGTACATGGACCTCAGAGCTGCAGCAGCAGCGTCAGCAACAACGGCGAAAATCCGTAATCTCGATCTCGGTTCCCCCGACCTTGCTGTTGGGTTGACACTGCTGCTACATCTCATACTGCTTTTGTTACTGTTGCGGGAGTTGCTGCTGCCAGAACTGCTCTTGCTGTTGCTGCTGCGGCTCCCTACCATACCGCGCCAGGCACCGAATTCCTTCCAGCAAGGCGCACATGACTGACCACAGCACCAGAGACGCCGCACCTGCTGTTAGAGCCAGCAACGCTACAGCAGCACCGCTGGGGTCCAGTTCTCCTGATTGGCTTGCTGCTGTACCGCTGGAGGCTGCTGTTGTGGCTGCAGAGGCTGTTGCTGTTGTGGCCATACTGCAGATCCTCCTTGTTGTGGTTGCTGCTGCTGATGTTGGCGCATACCGTGGTGAGGATGCCACGTATCCACGTCCCCTGGCCATAAGAGCTCTCCATGCTGCTGCTGCCAGACGCCAGGAATAGGATGCTGCTGCTCTAGAGCTGTCGGCCAGCGTGCATACTGGTGCGGCGGCTCCCACGCATGTTGCTGGTGCAGCTGTTCCTGTTGCTGCTGCTGCTGATCGTGAAGGGCCAGCAAAGAGCTAGTGAGACACACTGGGGAAAGGTTCCGCTGCTGAACAGCCATCCGTTGCTGCGGGTGATGCTGCTGCTCCCACGACTGCTGGTGGTGCTGTTGCTGCTCCTGCTGCTCCTGCTGCTTCAGGAGTAGCCGCCGCCACCGATACACACACAGCTGCGCGCGGCGCAACAGATCCTCGACAAGAATACCGTCGCCGATGCAGCTGCTTCCTGCTGCTGCTGCTGCTGCTGCTGCTGCTGGATCCGATAAACGGACACGAGTCGCCAGCTCCTGAACCATTGCAATGGCCGTTATCAGCTCATCCCTGACACGCCAGCAGCAACAACAACGGCGCGTCATAAAATAGAAGCAGCGAAACCACAAATGCGAGGCCTCGCCAGTAACAACAGCAGCAATCGCAGTGGCAGTACCTATAACGGGAACACTGGCACGGCAGCAGCAGAAGCAACAGCAGCGGCAGTTTTACAGCTCACTTGAGCTCCCAGTCGTGCTGTTGCTGATGAAGCGCGGAGTCTCCAAGCGGTCTTCGGGGCTGCTGCGGCACCTGCTGCTGCGAAAGTTGCTGCGGTAGTTGCGTACCAGCTGGCGGTTCCACCGCTTGTGCTCGTTGCTGTTCCACAGGCGGCACAACCGCTGCAGCAGGAGCAGCAAGGCGCTTTGAGAGTGGCGTTGCGTCGTCCGTTACCCTTTTCTCCGCTGAAGCAGCATACGGGTCTGCCGATGCAGCTGCTCCTGCGCTGCTGCCAAAACTCAGCTCGCTTCGTTCAGCAGTTGCAGCAGCAGCAGCAGCGGCAGCAAGCGTTGGGTCTTTCTGCCCCCCATCTCGTAAGCCGTTGTGCTTGCTTTCATCTTCTAAATATGAGGCGAAAAGGAAATCCGTTGTTGCTGCTGCAGCTGCCGCTGCCGCTACATCGGAGCTGCTAGGTGGGCTGCTGAATCTTGGCGGCAAGTGCACCGGCTGAAGCTGCTGTTGCTGTTGTTCCTGCTGTTGCTGCTGTCGCTGCCGTAGTTGTATCTCCTCTATCTCTTCTACCGTTACGACCGTGCGATTTGCAAAGCTTGTTGCACCGCAGAGGCTGCTGATGGCGTTGCTGCTGCTGCTGCTGCTGCTGCTGCTGCTGCTGCTATAAGTTGCATCTGTCAAGCCTGCTGCAACCAGGGGAGAAAAAAATGGAGCGTATGCATCGCCGTTAAGTCGTGCCTCCGCTTCTTTTGCTACAGCTGCTTCTGCGACCGTTGCTGCTGTAGATATAGTGCCTGCAGTTGTTGCCGTTGTCGCCGCTGTAATTGCTGCTGTTGTCGCTGCACATGCACCTCCTGCTGCAGCTCCACCTGACGCCGCAGTTGTTGCTGCTGGGGATGCTGCTGCTGCTGCTGCTGCTGCTTCGTCTGCTAGCTGCTGCTGCTGCTGATGCTGTAGGGCAGCAAGCATCAAGCTGCGCAGGTCTCCTGCCGTTAGGGGTCTCTGCTGCTGCTGCCGTCTCTGCTGTTGTTGCTGCTGTTGCTGCTGCAGCAGGTGAGGGTATGCCGCCCCCAGGCAACAGCAGAGCTCTTCAAGCAGCATGCAAGGCACGTGAGGCTTTCTCTCTGCCGTAGCAGCTGCAGCAGCAGCAGAGGAAGGTGCGGCAACGCGCTGCAGAAACACTTTGACTGCAGGATCTGCCGTCAGCATGAAGACGAGTCCATCGCTGGCTTTGCTGCCACTGCTGCTGCCACTGCCGTTACTATTGAATCCCAGCCATACTTTTTCCAGGTGCTTTTTCCACAGCAGTCCGAAGTCTATTGTTTCTAAAGTGTCTGCGCTGAGTTGCAGAGCCCGACCCAGAGACACATCCTGTGTCGACAATAGCGAGAACTGTTGCTCCTGCTGCTGCTGCTTCGCGCTCTTTTTCATCCCTTCAACGTATTCGACGACTTGAAAATCACTCGCAAGCTCTCGCAGCTGCTGCAGGGCGTCTTGCTGCTGCTGCTGTTGCCGCTGCAGCTGTTGCTGCATGCGGGCAACTTCCCGCTCTACGTAGTCCGTAACAAGAAATACTGAAATGTCGCTATCCGACAGCGAGTTTTGTGCTACTGATGCGTCTGCTGCAACTCCTGCTGAGGACTTCCGTTCCCTGCAAGCCAACTGTCCCCCGCTGTATAACCGGCGCAAACCGGCAAGGCTTATTGGGCATGGCTCCTCGCACTGGAACACACAGCAGCAGGAGCAGCCGCACCAGCACCAACTACAGCGACACCGGAGTGCAGCAACAACAGCCGCACAACTAGTTCACGTGGACTCGACAGACTGATGAGGCGACAGCAAGACAGACAGCATCAACAGCAACACAAATGCACAGGCGATATGTACAGACAGCAGAAGCAGCACCTCACATGCTACAGCAGTGGTATCAAGCAGACGGGCAAAATAAAATACATTCAATGCCGTTGCTACGCACCGCAAGGACACTGGTGTACACGATGTGATGTGGCATGAATATTAAAAACGTTTGTACGGCGCAAACAGCAGATCGCAGACGTACGCGGAGAGCGAACGGATGCTTACTGCAAGAACACAAAACGCCTTTCACCAATATATTTCAAAATCCATGTAAATTTATAGTCCGATGTCTCCGACCCAATGTGTTGTGGGCCATAAGTTAGCGCAAGGCGTGGGGGCGCGTGGTCGAAAGGCTATATGCACGCGGATGCATTTTATGAGAAGCTATTGCCCAATCTTCAGAGCATGCATTGCCGTACGCAGTGCTTAAGTGCGAAATGTTCTGTCCTACTAGTCAATGTTGGGAAAAAAGTGCATCGCGAAGGATGTCAACACAGTGCTACAGCAAATTCCTTCTCGCTACGCGTTATGGTTTGTGCGTGTGTGTGTGTGTGTGTGTGCGCCTGTGTGTGTGCGCGGTTGTGTGTGTTTGTGTGTGTGTGCGTATGTGTGTGTGTCTGTATGTGTGTCCACTAGACCACGGAATAATACGCATACGACAGGACCGTGTCGCATCGTCAACCAAGTACAGAAGAATCTCACGTACCTGATTTCCAGGACACTGCATTTAAAACGTCCCATGCACATACTAACACGCTCTCCATTCGCATTTACATGATGCTATGGCATGTACATCGAACACATACACAGCACTGAAGTAAAAACTCACAAAATTGACACTTACATGGGTGTGAGCAGCACAAGTCCCTTCATTCATCTGCGTGACGGCGGACGAATCCAAAAAAATGTAGAGAGGTAGGCTGTGCAATATGTCAGCGCTGCAAGCAGCCCCTGCCGCTGCTGGCGCTGACGGCTTTGCTGTTGCTGCTTCCGCAATTGTCGTATCTGCAGCCTCCCCTCCGGCTGCTGGTGCCTCCCCTGAGGCTGCGCCCGGGGCTGGCGGTGCTGCAGCCGCCACTGCTGCGACTTTGGCTGCAGCAGCAACGGCTGCAGCGGTTGAACATGTACTGGAACTGCGGCGAGTTTCCATTGCTGTCACTGCTGCTGGCGCCGCGGGTGCTGCAGCTGCCGAAGCGGAACCTGTCGCTGGTGCTGGTGATGCTGACACTGCGGCTGGTAATGTTGTCCCTTCTGCAGCTCTGCCATCCCTTGCAGCCGGGAGTGCTGCAGCACAGGCAGCAGGATGTGCGCCAGCTGCTGCAGCTGCGTATGATACCCGAGAGGATACTCCCCGTCGCTCAACTGCGCCTGTTGGCGCTGCGGTTGTCGCCGCTGTTGAGTCGCGACCGCGAGGTCCAGCAGCGCTAGCCGATGCATTCTGTTGCTGCTGTTTGCTGCTGCTACTGCTACTAAGCGACGCCTTGCTGCCTCGCTGCTGTTGCTGTTTTGCTCCTGGGTCATCTGATGAGCGACGAGAGGTGTTGGCTGCTGCGCACTTGACACGCTGGGTTGTTGGTGCCGCTGGCGCTGCACCTGTCCGTACGCCTGGTGCTGATGCAGCTGCTGGTGCTGCAGCGACTGACGCAGAAGCTGGAGGGGCAGCGCTGCTGCTCTGAGATGAGGGCGCCTGCAGCAAACACAGAAGCGACGGCAGATGCAGCAGCAGCGGCAATCCGTCTACAAAGCCAAACTCTAGACGCTGAACTCCAACCCCATATGCCCTAAAGCCTCACTGCGTTTGCCGTGTTATTCCCCGCTGGGGTACGACAGGTCTGGCCACGCCTGCTCTCCGTAGGAGCTTGGTGGGCGAACATGTACATATGCAGCTGCAGGCACAGACATAATAACCTCAGCTCGAGCCCCTCAAGCCCACGCCCTTAGCAACAGCTTGTGAGCCCCCTATCCCAAATCCTGGATCCCACACGCCAACACAAAGGCCTTAGCACGGCAGAGACTGAGGCCCCCGCCTAAGGGTGAAGGGGCCACCAAGCGAAGCGGCTCCAGGGGCAACAAACAAAGCCACAATGTTCTGCCTCACTACTGGTGTGGTTGCATGCGCAGTCGTTTTCCAGCACCGCGCCGGGGTGCAGTGTTGCTGCTGCTGCTGCTTGTCCGCAAAGCAAACAGCAGCGGCAGCTCCTCTCTTCTGCTTAGCAGTCGAAGTCCATTGGCGTACTAGAGCTAATCGGACACAGCAGCGGAAGCACAAGCATAGCGAATGAAGCAGCAGCAGCCTGTGCCGCACTAGATGCGGCAGCGGCAGAATACGCAGCGACAGAAGCAGCAGCAACAAAGCCCCAGCTAGTTCCGGCTACTTCTGCAACAGCAACGCCAGTCCATCCGCCCTTAGCAATAGCTGCAACACATGGAGCAGCAGCTGCAGCTGCTGCAGTGCAACAGAAGCAATGGCTGCTGCACTCGACGAGTAACGGACCCGCTGCTGCCCCAGTGAGTTCAGTGGCAACAGTGAACATGCAGCTGCAGCAGAAGAAGCATAATGCCACTGCATGCGCAAAAGGCGCATGCAAGGAGTAACCTAATCAATTCCCTACGAAGACAGCAGCCTCAGCAACAGCAAGAGCAGCAGCAGCGCCACAAACGCTCTGAGACGGACCCATGGGATCTACAATTTGATTATATTCCATTCTGAGCCACAAGGGGACATAGGCCTTCCTGCGGGCGTCAAGTCTGGGGTACACGTACACCGCGTTGTCAGCAGCAGTAGCAGCAGCAGCAGCAGCAGCAGCAGCAACCGCGTTCATGACAAGGAGCGCCCCGCTGCTGCTGATGCTGCAGTGGGACAAATGGAGTTCCTCGAGAAGCAGACAACCTGCTGATGCTGCTTTGGTAATGTAGGAAGCCACCGCTGCTGCGCCTGCATCCCCTATGTTGTTCTTGTACAGCTTAATTTTGGTGAGGCGCATGCATGCGCAGAAGCAGGTGAAGAACGACAGCAAACAAGAAACCCCTGCTCCGCTGATGCTATTTTCTGCCAAGTCCATGGACAAAATAACCAGCGCCGGCATGCGGCCCCCGCTGGCTCCGGCGTTGCTGCTGCTGCTGCTGTCGCCGTTACTGCTGCTGCTGCGGTTGCGGCCATGCTGCTGCACGCACTGAGATAGCCACTGAACGAACTCCTCCACATCACAGTCCCTGAGGCCCCGTCGTTGCAGTGCCACATGAATATTCACAACTGGCTGCTGCTGCTGCTGCTGTTGCTGTTCCGCCTTCGCAGCGCCGTTACGCCCTACGCCGCTGCAGCGCTCTATGCGCATGTAAGTCGAAAATCTGCTGCTGCGGGGGAACAGCGAAGAGACTGTGAGGAAGCTACCACTACTACTGCTGCTGCTGCTGCTGCTGCTGCTGCAACTACTACTACTATTGCTGGAGCTGCTTGTTGGGGGCACGGCCCCGCCGCGAAGGGCGTTGTCGGTCCTGGGCCGCATCTTTAGCTAAGCAAGTTGAGGGGAGCCGGAGACATGCTGTTGCGGTATTTTCTGCAGGCTCTGCTTCTGCTGTGCTGCTGCTTCGCCGGTGCTGCGCTGCGACTGCGCCGCCGCAACTGCAGCAGCAGCGACAGCAGCAGCAGCGATCCTCCGTGACCCAGAGACTCAAGCCAAGGGAAACTTGTACACAATACCCAAGGGCAATCCAGCGGACGCACGCAGTCCTTATGCTGCTGTTGCCGTTTGGCAACAGTCTTATTGGCTTCCTGATCTGCTGCTGTAGCGTTTAGGGAGCAAAATACGCAGCAGACAGAAGCAGCACGGTGAGACGGCACGGGTCGTCTTCTGCAGAACGACACCAGCAACAGAGTCCTTTCCGCTGCTCGCTTCCCGTTGCTACTGTTGCTGCTGCTACCGCTGCTGCAGCAGCTGCTACGACACCAACAAAGATGCAGCTGCGCCTGGAAGCAGTTCTTGACTGTCCCGATCAATTCAGCCTTGATGATCTGAAATGGAAGGAAACGCTTCTACTACAGTAGCTGCTGCTGTTCCTGCTGCTGCTGCTGTTGCTAGTGCAGCAGGGGGCTTTGCTGCTGCTGCAGCCCATGAAGGGAAGCCGCTGCAGAGCAGGAGACCACCGGAACACTCCAACTAAAAAATTAAAAATATACACCTAATTACACAACAAAAACACAAAGGCCACATCGGAGGCCCTAAAACCCCTTGCTGGTGTTGCGTCGGCTCCTCCTGCGGTGTACAGACACATGAAATTGTCGGTCCAACGGCCACTGCAGCTGTTCATCTCACTGCCATTTTTTCCGCAGGAATATACTGTACAGTTCAGATATCGCCCCTGACAATGGTGTTTTGTGCAGCTCAGACTGAGTCTGCGCGTGTCCTCTATGAGGGTTTAGGGTTTGGTGCTTAGCGTGTCCGGTTTTTGGTTTTGCGGGCTTGTGGTGTGTTTGGAAGAATGCGCTTTTAATCATCATCTGCCAATCCATGGGCAAATCTTATCGTATTGTGCCCCTCTGCTCACATTCCCATTTGATTTTTCCTTTCTTCTCTACAATGAAGGGAAAGTGTGCAGTTAACAACGCACTGCTCGGACTCCCTCCTACCCAGTGATAGGTCGCCTTCTCTGCTGTTGGCTGCGTTCCTCATTTCAATTTATCAGTTCCACACTGTAAGCAGCAGGGCTCCGGCTGCACAGCTATAGCAAGGGTGATTCTTTTCTCCAACTGTCGAACGATTGCCATCGTGGGTTGGCGTCGCCCGTAGCTAACTCACTGCCTGGGCGTGCATACCATTTGACGCTAGCATATGCTGTCTTGAAGCAATTAAGAAATATGGAGGCCTGTTCAAGCCGCCCCAAGGATAAATAGCCCTAGCGGAAAGTACCGCGGCCTACAGGACCAGCACCATTAAGGACCCGTCGCTGGCTAGATGTGGGCAAGCGAAGGATTCTAACTACAGAGTATAGCCATTTGTGGCCTATCACTTTGTAGGTATTAGTGCAGTAGACGGAGGAGGGTATGTCTGGTTTACGGGACAGATAAGACGAGGAACGGAGACAGTCCTGTTTTCGTACTACATTAATTGTGGTACGAGCGGAATGGCAGCCGTATCACAAAGTGCCCACTGTAACACCTAGAACGGATTTATTCTGTAGGCCACATAGGCCAAACCAAGTAATGTGAACACCACAGTCCCAGCTGTTTAAAATCCAGTGATATTTCGAGCTGCGCAGAACCTTGTGTTGCGCCGAACAGGACACGAATTATGAGTTGAGGTGTGAAACAGTGAGAAAACAATGCGCCCGGTTCTCTTCTTCAAGCGTCGATTATTGATTTTTGCTATTTGTCTCATCATTCCTTGGGATCAAGAACTATTATTCGTGTGGGCAGAATCGCGTGTCACTCCTGGAGGCAAAGGAAGGTTCTCGTGGCCCACTGTGCGACGGCTAACTGGCCCAGTTGTCACTGGCCAGCCTTGCTCCGGGTTGTGCAATACAAGCTTGTATTTATACGGTGAATTTCGGTGCTTGCGGCACGCAAGAATCCAAGGCACCGCGTCTGGTGGGGGTAGTTCGTCTCCGCGCAGGTGATGTGAGAAGGGACAAACATCGCCGCCTGTGGCTGAGAAGGCGCCTGACATAGAACGCCCATTAGGCTCCACAATGCGTTGAAAATAATCACATCAGAAGATCCCCTAGACCGGCGTGGCCACTCGCGTAAGCTCAGGCGGAGCGTCCACCAGGTTCAGAATGGGCGAGGCGCCCAGGCGCCTCGTTCATCGTGAAAACCCGCTTTTCTCTCTCTTAACTGACCTGCCGGGAAGTCTCCAGATGGACTGGCGTGTCATTCAATCTCATAATCAGCCGTCTCAGGGAGTACACGATTAGGTCGGGCGGGTGTGACCGCCCTGCCTTCAGTACCGGACACTTCCCGCCTGTGATAAGCCTTCTCGACTTACCATAGTTCAAAATTGATACACAACCAAACATACCATAGTTGCTATGTGCCTAAAGCTGGCGCTAGAGGCTCTCCAGCGCCGAGCAGTGACAAATGCCCCCGTATTCCTCCTCCGAGACGGATCTCCTTCTTTAGAGAACATCCCTTTGCTACACTGGTACAACTGCATTTCACTTACCACAGGCTGATACTGATTTATGGGTGCGTTACGTGCTCCCAGGAATTGGAAGATTCATTGATTGGTTGCCTCTCCGTTCAGCTTCCAAGAACAGCAACTCAGTCCGGTCCCAGGACCTCAACACTATAGACTAGCGCATGGTAGAATCGTGCGTCTTGTACTGTATCGTGGGAAAGCAGAAGGCGGCGTTCTGGGAACGACCTTTCGTTGGAGAGTTATTTTGCTGAAGAAGGTGGATCAGTGGGGCGGCAATAAATTAGGAGCCAACAGTTTCGTGCTCGTGAGTCACTTAGTTCATTGATCCCGTTGCTCAAAGCCCCCCACAGATGGTCTTTCCGCCTGTAGGGTACTTTCTCACATAAGTTTCTCGCTTACGCCATTAGTGCGACGGATGTAGAGCAGCAAACAAGGCAGATATACGTTAGGCCAGCGGAGGGTGAAAACAGCAAACAAGGCAGATACGCGTTATCCCAGCCTTGGGTTGTTAGCAATTCCAGCTTTCCCTGTTTTACTGAAGTACTGCCAAATTCCTGCTGAGTGCAACCTTACCCCCGTCAGCCTCATCGAAAAGATTGTGTGTGTCCTTTTATTCGGCAAATATTCACAATGGCTCAGCATGAAGCTATACGAGGAGTGTAGCCGCGTACGTGACATTCATGCTACAGGGCCTTTTGATCTGCAAAAGAGTTGGTACGTGTAGGTAGCAATTGCAGTGACTTCAGCACAGGCAAGGAGAAATCAGTTGCCTCCTATACACTGACCATCAGGCTCTGATAAGCCTAAACTGCTGCTAATCCCTACGTGGTCGGAACCTTCGGCAGCTTAGCAGCTTTTGTCCAGTAGCTATTCAGAGTTAGATGGGTGATGCGCTAACAAGACACTAAGTAGCCTGCAGTAACAGGCCCTGGGGAGCTAGCACTTGTCGTATGAGCTTCTCTCATATCTTCTATTGAACGCGTGTACGCAGTGAAGCGGAAGATCAGCTAGGCTTGACTCCACGGCAGAAGCGTCCAGAAGTCCTCTTTTTTGTTTCAGCTGCCACCCGTTGGTCCTGCGAAAAACTAGTTCGATGACTCACGGTTGTCCACTTTTCCGTGAGCCCTCTACAGCTGCGTCGCAAGATGCTAGCTTATCATTGCCCTTGATATAACATCGGGCATGACAGCGTAGCTGGTCCTTCAGAACCATGGGCTGGTCTCCTTTCGAAAAAGTGTACTTTGACGTTTTCTTGGGCATGTAATCCGCTTGTTTCTTACATTCTCCTGACTGGCTCCACGATATGCCCTTTTGTCCTTCTCGTCACGTGAATGCAGGCCACCATTGGTAGGAGGAAATTTTCTTCCATGCAAAAATTTGGCTTGCCTAGGGATGCGGATCTGTACTACAAAGTCCTTCATGCAGTGTTTGACCACAAAAGCTCTCAAGGACAAGCTGCTCGGCTCTCCAATTTCATCGAATGAGCATGAATGGGCATGATTGTTTTGTCCCTTCTTAGTACTATACAGCGTGATAAGTAATTCCTCCGAGGAGCTGACTCCCTTCAAGTCAATAACCGGACCTCCTTACAGCAGCTGCCCTGGATATTGCTCGTGCTTTGGTCCTTCACTCTACCGCCCATCCATGGCAATGTTTTTTCACTTGTTCAGTAACCTGGATTTTAGTCACTTCTTACGTGCTAAATGGCCGACAAGGGCACACGCAGACTCAACCTAGTATTAAGGCAAATATGTTTTCGGCGCGGAATTGTGATTCAACAACGAAGCCTAGCCAAGCATAGTAGCAGTAAACTAGGTCACCCCAACTTCAGTTTCAGCGGCAGAAACAGATGCGGCAACAACGATCTCATCAAAAGCGAACGTGACGCCCACAGCTCGTGCCCCAGCTGCCGTAAATGCCACGGCAGGAATCACTGCAGCAGCCGCAGCGAACAAGGTATTGGCGGCATAAAAATTCACAGCAGCTGCCATGTTACTCGCAAAAACGATATGACACAAGAACAGCAGCAAAGGCAGTGGCAGCGGCTAATCCAATCAACACAATGCATCCGTAAACGCAACTCCGGCAGCAGCCACCGATTAGTCAGCAGAACAAATGTAGTAGCCCGAGCATTGAGTGCACACAAGCAACAGAGACATATATGGAATATATGCGGCGGCAACAACGAGAGCCGAAGTCAATCGGGCAACAGAATGCACCTCAGAAAAGAACAGTTATGCAGCCCACCGCCGTGGGACGTTTCCGCTGCACGGTGACGCCAGCTGTGCTGGTAACGCCAACCCGACAAAGCAGTGGAAGGGACAACACTTGGAACCAACACAGAAAATAGCGCGGCACTGTCACAACGAGCA